CGCACCCTGTCGCATACTTTCGTTTAGCCAATCAGGGCTATCAGTGCTACATGAATGCTGCCGCGTACAGCTTCTGGCTCATTGCGCGTCTGACGGGCACCGCCCTACGGCTGCCTCAGGTGCTCGGGGGTAACACAGCTGGGCACTACTGTGTGCGCCAGCTCTTTGCCTTCCATCGCTTAGGATGGCAGCAGCCTGAACGACAGCATGATGTCACAGAACTCATCTCCCATCTTCTCCCCAAGATTGCTGTCGATTGCACTGCAGGCGGGATCGAGCTACGCCAGCAACAGCCAGAAGGCCTGTATCGCCGGTTCGAATCCCCGCTCACACACTGTGCCGTTTTGCCTGCAATGCCCAAGCATAACAAAAGCCTGCAAGCACTGATCAACTTCTGGCATACCCAGGACGTTACGCATGCCCTCATAGCCCCTCACCCTCGGATACTCCTGCAGCTCCCTCGATTTAAGTGGATTAGGGGCTCTAACCAAAAATGTAAGCGAACATATGGTTTGGTTCGCCGACTTCAGGTGCCGGTGTATCGCAACCAAGCGGACCTCATGGTCCAGTGGGTGCCTTATGATGTGGCATGCGTTATCCAACACCATGGTCCACGATCGGACCAAGGTCATTACACAGTCATTCAGCTTAGCTCCGCAGACTCGGGGAATGCAGTGGAGCCGTGGCTCATTGATGACGCAAAAGACCCGCAAAGCCTCGACGACGCCATGAGTGCACATGTCAGTCGAAACATGTATGTTGTGGTGTTGACAACCACCCACACAGCCCTCTCACGCTCAATCGAAATCGAAGTAGCAGATTCCTCGCTCTCCGACCTTGCCATAGATGCCTCAACCAATCTACGTACCGGTGAACGATCTGCCGAAACAGGAGATGGACTGGCATGCAGCGCAGCTCTTCTTGCTGGAATACCAGTTGCGACAGATAGCTGTGGATATGGCAAGCCTCAATCAGATTTACACCGATCTCAAGCATCGGGTACGCATGGTTGAGCTCAAGCTTGATCGATTGCTTCGTCCACGTGGGCATAGCAAGCTTACTGAGAGTTTACAGATCGTATTTTTCGATGAGCTAGACGAGTGACGAAGTCACTCGTGTACGGCGCTTCGGCGCGGAACTGCTCCCTTTGAGCATTAGTGCTGCTTCCTCGAGAGGCTGTCCATGCACAAGCATGTGATGTATTAGTGCCCCAGTGCCCCCTAGACCGGATCCTCCGGCTGCGTGAGAAGAAAAAGACGATAATGATAGCAGCAAGAATAGCACTACGAAGTCTGCCGGGTCTCTTTTCATCCAAATGCTTCTCTCCGCGATCTTCGGGTTGCACCTGGCAACACCAGGCCGTGGCCAGGGTCCTCTGCTTCCTCTCATGCTCAACTCAACCGCACTCCGGATGAAGGGGTCCCGACCTTCTCCCACTTGGAGTGGGACAGCGGTACCCTGCGCAGCAGGGAGTTATCGCGACTCGGGACGGGACTCGCAGAAGACAAATGTTGCTGTCCAAGTCTCCCAGAGTACTCCGTGTGGTGCTTCCTGAGCACAAGCAGCTTACAACCCCTTCTCCAGTAAGCCCAGACCCTAACCCGCCTAACATAAAACACCCGAGTGCCGACTGAGGATCAGAGTCTTTCGCTTTCCTTTCCACGTTGGCGACAAATCTGTGGAGACTTCCTGCATCTTGGCCAGGTACGCCGGCTTGGCCAGCCTCTGCTTTGGTGCAGGCGCTCTATGACATTCAATGCTCCTTACTTGGAAGTGGCATCAGGGGATGTCTCGTACTCGTACTCATAATATGTGCATCATCCTGCCAGCAGCGACTATAGGTCCACACCTTCAGAAGTTGAACGGAATTGGCATGCCTCGCTGGAGCCAAGCCGGCAGCCACGGAAGTCTAGCTGTCTAGCATGGGTGACAAGGGAAAGTATGATCTGTTACCTGTTACCCCCCACCCCCCCTGTGTCGGGGCATCGTTGGCCTGCTCCCGAGGAAAACTACATCGGAGTGCAGACCAGGAGAGCAAGGTGCGATCCTCCAGCAGCTTACCTGCCCTGGCAATGTGATAGGACCTGCTGCCAGCCCTGTACGGGTTGTTTTTGTGCCCCCAAAGCAGACAGATAAGCAGCTGGATTTGAGCATCGTAGTCCTTGCGCTTATGCTCGTCTGAGAGCAAGTCCCAGGCATCGTTGAGCAGTATGCACATCTCCTGTCGTAGAGGGCGCATCAAGTAACCAAGGTCTGCAAAATATTGCTCGACTTCGGCTTTCTGACTCCCTGTGAGTCACCTCCCGTCTGTCCTCTCCCTCCGGTCCGGCGACGTCCGGGTGGCACAACCTCGCGGCTTGCGGAGCGATGCGGAGCGGTCCCTCTGACAGGACAGTGCCCTGAGATCCGGGCTTCTGCAAGTCATAGTACTTCCTGACAGCAAGAATGCTTTTAACAACTACGAGTATCTCTCTTCTTCTCAGGCACCACTGCAGTCAAAGAGCTTCTTGATCTCCTTCTCATCAGCCCTGTTTGTTGTGCCGAAAAGCTCCTGAGATCTAGAGCAACATCAACGGCTGCATGCCCTTCAACGCCCCACGAGGACCACGCGTACAGGTCCGCCGGAGCACTAGTCGCGAGGCCCACCTGCACAGCATCTTTCTTGGCAGCACTGAAGAGCCTCATCTCTTCGAAAATCGCTCGACATGGGGGCAGTCACGTGGTATCTCCAGCCTCGCTCTCCGACGGAATGGGGACCTTGGTGGAGCCAAGATGGATCAGTCGAGTCTGCGGGCAGATGAACTTTTCGACGTCCGACACCTTGCTGGTTAAGATTCCTCTCTTATGTGGCCACGCCACGTCACGCTGGACATCCTGCTGCCGCCTTTCGCAGCTGACCTCTCGGCGGTTGCCCCACCTGCCAGTGTCCAAGACCTACGATCTCCCCAGCAAGAGGCCATCAGCCGTCACCGTTGTCCCCTCAGAGGATAAAAACCCGTTGCCGCCATGCTGCGTACTGTACTTGCTTTGAGAAGAAGTATGAAGAAGTGAGATGAGGCGCCCTTGCCTAGAACCGGCGAAGAGGGAGCCGGCCCCGACTGTTGCACTGGCTGTGACTGCGGCGACGCCGGCGAGGAAGAGCTGAGGCGCCTGAGTTTCAAAACAGCCTTTCTCTTGCAAGCATGCGCTCGTTTTGGCACAGGCGTAGAGAACTAGAAGCAGGGCCACCCGATCACTCGCACGCCTTCCCAGAGTCAGTCAGCAAACAAACATACCATACCTTTGGATAGTGAAGGACTTTCTTCGGTTCGGGTTCGGGAGCGCGCGTGAATCTTCGTGGGAGTGCGGCAACATGATGCAACATGCGCTGCCACCAATGCTTCCGCCGCTACCACTCCTACGAAACCCGACAGTTACATAGGATCAGCAACAAGTGGGAGGTTCCAAAAATTAGGGGTACCTTATTTGGGGTCCTTCTAATAAGGATCCTATTATTTAGGGTACTATATCAGGGCCCCCTATTTTCGGAACCTCCCAAGTATCGGTAGAGCCTTGTAAGCTCAAGAGCATCATAACCTCGCGTAACCTCCCAGCGCACGGCAGGCGGCCGAGCCGGAGCTGCTGGTGCCAGGCCCGGCGAAAGCCGGGGGTGGTCCCGCTGGGATCCTGCGCTGCGAGCACATGGGATGAATAGGCCTTTGTTAGGGGTTCCTTATAGGAATCCTACCAAAATATTGGGGTTATAGACTCCGAAGGCTTAGTAGAGGGCTAATGACTTCAGTGCTGAATAGCTCAGAACAGTGGCCGGTCGGACTGCTGCGACGGGGCAGAGGCACATGGATGGACATGGTTCCTGCATGTCCCAGCCCGGCACAGAAGAATCGATACCTCTCAACCCTAAACCCAATTCTTGTGGTCGACGCCAACTAGCTCTTCCCCGTTGCCTAAGATGGCATCGGTGAAAGCAATTGGCAAGTTACTTGAGAAGACAGCTTCCAGTTTGGGCGAAATGTATATTTTGGGGTGTTTTGGGCTTTTGAAAGGTGCAACCCCCATTTTATACATTTTATGCCACACAAGCTCTGAATCTGAAGCGGAAATGATGCGGGAGTCCTCTGCAGGGAGATGAGGGCCTCGCTCATCAGTTGCAGCACAAGGTCACAAGGGTCTTTGGGTTTAGGGTTTTTGCAACAGCTGCTTTGAAAAATTGAGCGCAGCATGCGTGTTCAACAGCACGCATGCATACATGTTATGCATGCGCACATGGAACTACGGATGCAGACAGACATGCTAGCATGTAATATATACTTCTATACCTGCATTTACATCGCTGGCCTGTGTGGGGCTGCGAAGTGATGCCCGGATCGCCAAAGCTGCCGCTGCCGCACAGAGAACAGCACCTCCAGCGAGTCGAACACACCCCACAAGTACCGGCGCTTCCCAACCATAGCTTTAATTTATCCTGGCCACAACTGGAACTACAGAGCATTACAGAAATATACATAGGAATGCATGGCACAAAGCCTTAGTCCTCACGACTCAAGCATTTTCAGCCTGAGGTATGAACGGAGACACGACTCTCATGCCAGGAGGCTCTGTGGTTTCCAGCGTCGCGAAAGCGGAGCCATAGCTCACCAATGGAAAAAAGCTGGCCTTCTTCGCCCTGGGAAAGGTTCTGGCGCCCCCTGCCCTTGCTCGCCGTGATGTCTCTGCCGGCCCCAGTATATGATGCGACTCGGCTGTATGTAGGTGCTAGTTTTCCCGGTGGCTTGAGTGCAACACAACAGGGCTGTCACTGCTGTCATGACATCTCTTGGATTTGACGGTAAATTTGGCTGCATGAACAAAATGTCGGTGAGAACCACAGCACACACACTTCCCGAAAAAGGTGTGAAGAGTGCTGCCCCATCACATGGGTCCGTGACGACGAAGAACCCAAGCTCTTGAAGACAAGAAACCATGTTCATCACCGGCTCTCTCTGTCAGTCTGGGGCAGCAGCGTTCGCGGCTGAAAGGTCTGCGGAGTGACATACAAGACGACGCACCTAGGGGCACAGGTGCCATTGAACCAATACAACAACCCGGTCCACAAGCGCATGTTCGAGTCTGCTGCCTCGTTTACATCACAGTGCGCTCCGCGGCGAACTTCGGTCAGGAGTCCCGCAGTAGTGATGACCACCTTGGGTCAGAGGCCAAGTGAGTGAGACGAGGACTCCACGCCACTGCTCGAGGTGAACGACATAACCGATGCTTCTCATGACAGCTCGCAGCTTCAAGAGTTCATGCAGATTCGTAGACAGCTCGTGGTGCCCCATCCTAACTTAAGCAAATTCTAAGCCGTACTGGGACGGGCAGTCGTCTGCTGGCAGCCGGCATCTTCATCGTTGAGCTGCTTGGTGACTTTCCAAAGATTCTCTGCCTGCTGAACATGTCCACAACATGCCCGCTCTTGTACGGATTGCTGCACGAAGGCTGACATGATCATGTGGGATGCCTGAACTTGTCGCTTCCCTTTCCAGTCCCTGGACGAGACCAGGAAGGAAGCACTGGCCACCCCGGAAGCATCCATGTCGTCGTCCTGGAAGGATGTAGCGGAGCTCACGACAACTCATATGCGACCCTTTCCAGCAGGCTTCTCTACAGTCTGTCGAAATCTTTACAGTCATGATTTACCTAGAATCCTGCTTCTTTCTGGGAACTTGCCTCCACTGCGAGGCCTACACCCTGCAGTGTCCCACACCGTCACAGACTCCTCCTCCAGGCTTGGACAGGTCGAAGAGGGATTTACCTCGACCGTCTTCAATAAGATTTCGATGATCATAAGGTATTCATAAAGGTACTCTAATCAGTGTTCGACCTGTAAGGTATCCAGAAGGGTTCTCCAGGGTTTAGGGTTTTGGGCACGGAAGCCAGACAGAAGCATGCGGCAATCATCCGGAGAGGCAGGGTCTCAGAGCGCGACAGCCGGGAAGTTCGGGGGCAGGCTGATCACTCGGCACCTGGAGATGATATGAGGGTTTGGGGTTCAGAGTACATCGCGTCGAGCTTCAGAAATACTTGTTTAACAGAGGCCGGATCAACAGTAGCAAACAGTACGACTACGAAGACTTTCAAACTTGCTTAGGGTTCAAATCCGAATCCGTTTGCTGGCATGATGCTGATGCTGTCCTTACAAGTAGATGAGTGCTCTTGCTTTTCACGATACCCCTGTTTATTCTTGCTACTGTCCCTTTGATGGCACATCCAAAGCCAGGTCAATGCATACTGTAGAGTTAATTACGAGAGGCGCAGGCTGGATATTATGGCACACCCGCAAGCCCGTAGCGGGCTGAATGGGAAAGCAAAGGATGCAAGGGCCGAGTGGGAAAGGAATCCAGGACGAGTGTTGGTGCACGCAGCATTTGTCATCATAAGTATTCTACGTCCTGCCGTGGCTTTGGTGAAGTTTAATGGTGGCGCATCAACACAAGCAGTCATAGCATATACAAACACTACTAGCACCACTACGATCACTACGACGACGACTACCATCACCACCGCCACCACGACCGCCACTAGCAGCATTAGTGCACCGCTGCGGCTACGGTACCGTCTCTCGCTGGGACCGGGGCCTTTCCCAGCGGCAAGGCGGACCATGAACATCAGAGACCTGGCACAACCGCGCAGCACATCGGCTTCGGAGTCAATTAGATGTGAACTAGTAACTAGGGCTCCGGCTACTGGTGCCCAAGCCTCGCAGAAGGTTTTTTGACTGCTCTTTTGGGGCTCGCGTTTGAGGCGCCGACCAGATCGTTCACCTGCGATCGCACAGCTGGAACGGAAAGAAAACACTTGCCGCCAACCCTTGGCCGTGCCTGGATGTCACACCCAGGCCGCACACCCACGAGGATGCTGTGCACGAGGTCGGAAACAAGCTGCAGCAAGGCCTCATTCAAGGAGTGAAGACTGCTGAAGATCGACGAACAAGAGGATTGGAACTGCAGGTGCTAATCATGGCAAACGGGACTGAAGAAGAAGTCAGTGACACTCGGCTGCTTGCACGAAGTGCTGCGCTCTGCTGCGGATCTGGGTGTAACCTCGATCGTCGTTTGTTGCTGCTTGCCTCTTCTTCTGCACTGCACTGGACACATCTCAGGAGAGGACACCGTGCCGGTGCTTGCAAGCCTCCCGCGACTTCGCCCGCTGGCCTGGAGAGCTTTCCAATCTCATACCGACGGTATTACCACCGGCTGAAGTATGATATCAAATTTTACACCATCATCCTAAAGCCTAAACCGAGGCCATCACCTGACATCCGGGTATGCATCCGCCTCCCGGAGTTCCCCGAAGCTCGCCTCCTCTTCGAGGATGGCCCGGGCTCTTCCGGACTGCGTGAGGTGATCGAGGCAGCTCTGCCTGTAGACGCGCACAGCCAGCAGACCAGCCATGTTGTTACTTATTGCTATACTAGTGTGTATACATATAAATGTATATATATATATATGTATATATATATATACTTGTTTATACCTATGTGTGTATGTATATACACATACATATTTTAAAATAGGAGTATAGGTTGCCACATACTGTTATGAAGTGTTACCCATCATGATCTAGTACGACATCATGTTGTATATTCTTATACGTCACGACTGCACATAATATTAATGCTATGATATGTCAAAGTATACTATAACCTATGACGATATAATAACACTATTACATGACATATTGCCAAGAATAGTATATTCTCAGATCACCATCACCTTGAGAAAACAAGCTCCAGGCAGAGAAGCCATCACACGCTGCAGCAGCCCATGTCGAAAATACCTGCAAAGCGTGAGGCAGGACTTCTGCCTGCATGTGAATGTGCATGTGTATGTATCCGAGTGTGTAAACATACCTTTCTAAGCGTATACATATACATACACATACATATACGTATTCACATATGTACATGTGCATCATATACCTGCAGGTATGCATGCATGCATACAAGCATATAGATACATCAGCGTTTGCACGCGTCTACGTACATTATGCAGGTGACTGCTGCCTTCTTGCTTTAATATAGCCAGGGGATCCTCAGGCCCGACCTGGCCTAGGAATGGCATGCAGCCAGTTCCGCTTCCAAAGATTCCGAAGGCGAGTTCCCACCAGCCTCCAGTTGCGGATTTCTGGTGGTTTCAGAGTTTCAGAGATACACGGAGAACCCTAGTACAACCGCTCCAGATCCACATTGCTTGCAATGTGATGATCTGCGGCGCCGGCTTGCAGGTAGATGCGCTTTGCAAAGCCTCAATGTCTGCCTGGCGACGAAAAAAAAGGTTCAAACGCTTCTCACTCGGGGCTGGAGTAGCGCTACCAACAAGATTTGTTTACACTTCGGCACCTTTGAAGCAAGCGTGATTGTGAAAACGGAGATGCTTCAACAGCAAGTGGCTGACCCTTTGCTGACACTGTCGCCTCACCTGGCTGAAAGATCGGATCCCCTGGGTTGCTGAGGCTCCTGAGACATCCCCGGAAGCAGCCGCCGAGGGGGCCTGGACCGAGGCATCTGTTACCTTGCCCAGGGAAGTGTCCTCGGCTGGTGGCTTTTCGGGAGTCGCTGGAATTTCAAGCCATGTAAAATGCTTCTGGCAAGTCAGACCCTCAGCTGCACAAACCGAGCGGATTCCATGCAGCCCCGACAGCAGCCCCACAACTCGCTTGAGCCAGGCGTCGTGGGCACATGCCTCGCAAAGGTCGAAGCCTGTGACGGAGCAGTGAAAGCGCGAGTTGTACATGGTCGTCTGGTGAAAATCCTGGCAGGGCACTGGGCCACTCAGAGAGCAAGGCAGAAATGCATCAACTTTGCTTTAGGTGTAGCCTGCCATCTTTGAGGTGATGTGGGACTTTGCATCGCACGGTGGGGGCAGGCCAAACTAAATCCGAAGTTCGCATGGGCTACGGTTCCTACCTCTCTTGGCTGCACAAAGCTGCTCTGAGCCTGCCTCGAACTTACAGGTTACATGGGAGCTTCCGAAAAACAGGGGACCCCAATATAATACCCTAAATAGTAGGATCCTTACTTTAAGGACCCCCCAAAAAGGCACCCCTAATGTTCGGAAACTCCCACCTAGCCTAAGGCTGGTCCGTCCCTGGACTGGCACGGTCGTGCTTCACCCAATCTGTGGCAATCGTGCTGGATAAACTTACCTTCGGTTAGTAGGGAATGGAAGAATGGTAGTAATAGTAGTTATGATTATACCCATTCCTCCATTCCCTACTAACCAAAGGTAAGAAATGTAACCCGCCGGGTTCGCCGTCAGACTAGCACGGCATCCGCCCGTGAAGTCCCGGCCGTCACAAACCTCAAGACCCGTGTGGGTCAGATGCAAAAGGTTTGCTGTGTGCTGCTCCCCAATCCGACACCGATGGATTTCTGACGCTAAATAATGACAGTGCGATTCTGTGACATCCTTTTCCCTGCTTTGAATAGGAACATACCATAATAAGAGATAGCGGTGGGACGAGGCATCCGGAGAGCGCCGCATTCTCGAGGCAACGGCCCAGCCGCCGGAGGAGAACGTCCGCTGCAACGGGCGGGCATGGACCCAGGCCTGAAGGTTTAGGGCTTCAAGTTTTGGGGGTTTCAGGGTTAGGGTTTACGGGTTCAGGGTGCGTGGGTTCGAGGGTTCAGGATTCTGCGGCTGGGGCTGTTAAGGTTTCAAGGTTTAGGGCACTACGAGGTTCCGTGCTCTCATGAGGCACGGGTATGCATGGGTACTATACGGGTTCTAAAACTACGGGACTTAAGGTTCAGGGGCTTTGAGTTCAGGGGTGTTCGAGAGCTGTCGTGCTTTGGAGTTGAGACTTCTGGCATCCTCCGTCATCTGCATCTTGCTGGCCATAATATGAGGACCACGTATCCTATAGGGATCTGATTATGCGATGTTGCTCACAAAGACTGCGTGAGTGAAGATGAAGACAGAGGCAATCTGCGCGCTTTCTCCGGGTTGCAGCTGGAATCGAAGCAAGCGCCCCCACAGACAGTAAACAACTTTCACGTGTCACAAGATTTTAGGATATTCTAAACGACGTCTACCCTCTAATTTAGAACAACTCTCTCAAACCCTGTGCACAAGCTTCATATCTTAAAACCATGGGTGGTTGTCAACATTAGAGTCCTTATCATAATGCGGCACCTAGTATTTAGGGTACCCCAAAAGGGACCATAATTTTGACAACCACCCAAACAGGAGACGCTAGGTGTGGCCTGCTGCACACGCCTTCGCATCCAGGGCCCGACCGGCACCTCGCAGCGTCCCCAGCGCTTTTATGGGAGTTTCCAAAAATTGGGGGTACCTTTTTCTGGGGGTCCTTATAAGAAGGATCCTACTATTTAGGCTACTATAGTAGGCTCCCCTGTTTTTGCAAACTCCCAAATCCGAAACAGGCTCAATGGTTCTTTTTGTCGCGGACTCTCTTGCCGGAGCTTCTGTAGCAGCCTTTTTTTTGTCGCCTCTTTTCCTCCTGCAAGATCCTTGAAGTCAGCACGCCTTGTAGGCTGAGGCTTGGGTTCGGGGACTGAAAACAGGGGATGATGCAGCACCCTTTACCACCTTCTCCCCAGTACTACGTACGCTTCACTAAAGTCCCCAACTCCCCCTGTAGCAGCTTTAGAGTTGAGGGTTTCGAGGCGAGGCTGTAGTGGTTGCTTGCCGGTGTGCAGCTAGCTGACCTACCGAGCAGCATTTAGAGCCAATGATCAGGAAACCGAAATTCAAGTCAGCTGGCAGCCATGCTGTGCCCCAAAGGCCAGCAAAGTGCCTGATGCCGACCACAGCGCCCGAAGTGGCCGACGAGGCCGATCATGCCCACATCCACATTGACCTCCCGACAGCAGCACACCTGGCCTGACCTGGACTTAAACTCCTTCATCTTCCCACATTTTGCGACTGCTCTAGAGGGCGGTGTAGGCAAGGCTGGAACTGCGGAGGATTGCTTGGTCTGGCCTGAGGAGCCCTAAACCCCGAACCCTCAATCCTGAACCCCCAAACCCTCAACTCTTCACCCAAACCCTGAACCTGAACCCTAAACTGAAAGCCGTAGCTCTCCGAAGATCTTCCGAAGCCGACCTGCTCCTCGGCGAAGTGGGTGTCCAGGAAGCGAACGATCACATAACGGCCCTCTTGCCACCTTCTTGGGGTTCAGGGCATGGGTTAAGGGCCTCAGGGTTTGGTGTTTCGGGTTTAGGGGTTTGTGTTTATGCTTCAGGTTTTGCGATTGGGCGACCGGCAGACAAACAAGAAGCAACAGCAGTTCGCTGGCTCTTATAATGTACGCAGACCTGCGATGAAAAACCGTCCCCTAGTCCTCACGGATCAAAGCCCTGCCAAAAGGGGCGTTTCGAAATCCTTCAACCCAAAACCCGAAAACACACCCGAACAGTAACCCACACACTCTGGCAAACCTTTCCACTGGGCCTCTGCAGTTCCACTTCCGCTTCGCGGGACTCCACGTCCGTCTGGAAGCGAAGGCAGGGCCTTTCTTCTCAGGAGAGCCACAAAACACACAGACTATGAATTATACACCAGAGAGAGAGAGAGAGAGAGAGAGAGAGAGAGAGAGAGAGAGAGAGAGAGTGAGCGAGCGAGCGAGCGAGTGCGAGAGGGAGCCCTTGGCAGGTCCAGTGCTAAAGCCGCAAAGCAAGAAAACCACCCGAGCCGTCAGCGGATGCGGGTCCCAAGTCGATGACGACTCATTGGTGCAACTGCCACCTCGGTCCTTCAGTCAAGAGCCATGGCAAACTGTTTCGGACAGTATGGGAAACTAGCAGCACCGATTTGGCATGGAAGCATTCCGGGCTGCCGCTGGCACTGATACGTGAGACTATGTGAGGCATACCCGACCCGTCCTCATCCACCGGTTGGTGGCTTTCCAGTTCATCTGGTCTCAAATCGTCGTAGACGTCTGTCATTTCCAAATCCTCAGCCACACAAAACATCTGAAGCTTCTGTTTCTCGGTTTTGGTGGAAGATGGACTACATCCAGCCTTCGGCAAGTCGCTGCAGACCCAGACCAGCCCGCTCCTGGCCAGGCTCTCTCGCTTGGCGCAGAGGTCTGGACGTGATTGGGCTTCGGGATGGACAAGTGCTGGACACGGTCGGCGCCTTCATGCTTGTTGGGTCTACCCCGACGAATCCATGTTCTGAACACTGTTGCGCCCAGGTTTTAGGCGGCCCTGGGCCAAGGCTCTGACTGCCTCAGCTCCCGCCTGATTGGTTCCGTGCATCTCGGCCCAGGTCCACTGATGTAGAAGTGTGTCAGGGTGAAGTCCTACAGCTTCAAGCAGGTGGCAGAGCCAGAGGGGCTACGCCATGCTACGCCTGCGATGCAAGCGGTCCTCTGAACATTTCAGAACGAGGTTGAACTTGCAACCCCTGCAGAAAGCGCATGACTTCCGAAAAAGTTAACCCGGCTGATGGCAGCTCGGGATCTTCCGTAACAGGCCTGTCCGAGCAGTGGAAGGGCTCCAAGGTCGGCATCAACACCTTTGGGACAACCGCGGAATCTCAATTCACATAATTCATCTCTGTCGCACCCAGATGAATTTCATTCAAGCGGCATGCTTGACATCATATTGACTGCCTGAACTGTGCACACAGCTCTCCCTACGGGTTGATGCAAGATGCAGGAAAGGAAGGTCGTGCTGGCCAGGCACGACTTTGCTGCGAGCCGCCATCATATGAGTGAACGACAAATTTCTCCTGGCTGCCATCTTCTTTGTTTGCGGCACTCTCTGACACTGGTGCTTACACATGGACAGGCCAGGCTGGCGTTCAAGAGAACTGGCGCGATGCCTGAAAATGGAGATCTTGGATCCTTGCGGCGGTACGATGGTAAAGATAGCTGTTCACGTGGCATGTGGGTTCGCGACAGCTGAGCCACCCACGTCGGCGTCATCCGGTAAGGAGACAGGCCTTACTCTTCCTCTCTTAGAGTCCAGCTAACGGATCACCAGGCTCTTGCGGCTTTTGGGCCCGTGCATCAAATTCGAAAGCCTCTGAGAGGCGAGAGCTCAGTCGGCGGATGCGTGGGGTCGGCACACTCGCCTTGGGCTTCTGCAAAAGGCGAGATCTGCGCAGAACTCCAGTTTTTACCGTACCGACCTGGTATACTTCAAATGAGGCCAGTGCGAGGAACCTTTGACGTCACAGCGTGTGTCCAAGCAAATGTGGCCGCACGGTGGGCTCTGGTCCGAAACCAAAAGAACTGTCTATGCGACAATGCAGCAGGTAATTGGCATTGCTGTCCCGATTCTGCAATATATGGATGTCCGTTCCCTGCCGATTGTCTGTGGAGCTCACCTCAGATATCCGTCGCGCAGCAGATGTTTGCTGCCTCCTTCAATCATGACAAAGTCAACTCTCTGCACTCCCGAAATCAATCCGAGACGCCGTGGGCTAATGGCCCGAGTGCCACGGACCCGTCCCTAGAGGCTGAGCCAAGACAAGCAGGCATGTCATGGCATGTCTGCTCAGTCTCATTTCCGATCTCTTTCTTCTTCTGTTGGGTGCTGGATGCTGTGGTCGTGGCAGCACGCAGGCTCCCTCAAGGCAAGCCAGCTCAACTAGCAAGAACAAGGGTCGGAAGAGATGCACATCAGGAAGGGGCCCACTTAGATCCGGTGCTTGCCAAAGAGGCAGAAAAAGAGTTAGCCAGCAGCCGTCAAACCACCGCTTGCAGCAGAGGCCGCACCAGACAGGCACTTGACGTTTTCGCCCTTTGCAACTGAAAGCATTGCGCAAACAACAGGCTGCTCATTGCCGACGAACAACCGCAGAACCTGTCAGGTCACGGAGGTGCTTGCTCTTCGCACCACAATGTGCAAGCACCCATCTGGCCTTTGCCCACTCTGGTCTTTCCTTTCCCTTTGGCAGCTTGTTGTCCTTACCGTCAACAACAGCATCATCCAACAGAAAACTAGTCGTGGTCCTTAACCACTCAAGAGCGACACTTGAGAATAGTTGTGTATGTGTGTACAAATATATGATAATCTATGTATGCAGTCTGTGAACCTGCTATCCAAGCATGCATCTACTTATTCTTCGTCTGCCTGTCTATCTCTCTACTATCCGTCAGAAGAACTTCAGATCTAAATCTAACGATCTATGGGTTTACCGATCGATTGATCGACCGATCGATCTACATATGCACTCATTTGCCCATCTACCTTTCTACTTTCTACCTATCTATCCATCTATCGATCTACCTATCTGCCAAAGTAATGTATGTTTGTGCACATGCCTGTGTCGGCGTAAGTATGTGTGTTTGTCCGTGTGTCCGCAAGCAAGTATGTAAGTAAGTATGTATGTATGTATGTGGGGGTACGGCACATGTATATGTATATGAACGTAAGTATGTATATATAGTTACTATTACAGCTATTAGTATATACGATAAACGAGATGTAACACCTGATATGGTTATATGTTTGTACATGTACAGGCAGATATGTAGATATTCACTCCCAACCTCAACCTATATCCAGACATGTTGCATGTAAATGCATAGGTATGTATGTGTGCATGTGTGTTATTTGTCAGCATGCATTGCCAATCTTCAAGGCAAGAGGCTTACGAGTTTCACGGGTAGGACTGCAATGACCACGTGGTTGAAAGAGGTTTGGAAGTGAGTGCGTGAAACGAGAGGGAGAGATGCGCGCACGCATGCAGCATGCATGTCTGCATGCATGTGTGAATGCGTGCATGGATGGAGAAGTACGCACGTGGCTACATGAGGCTGTATGAACCCATGCATAAATCTGTGCATCTCTCTTGCACTTCCGAGCCCCGGAGCCCGCGCTTCGTCCGACGCTGGCACTCCGAAAGATTCGCGGACCGTCTCGAGGCTCCCGAGGCGGCACCTGTTTCACTCGAACTTCGAGCTACTCCATTCGTGCTCCTTCCCTCCCAACTCTAGCTCCTGGAAATGATTGTCGTGGCGATGTTGGCACGGTGACGATGGTGACGATGACAACGACGATGATAAATTCCTAGTTAGTGCAGTATGCATGTCAACGTCTTGTCTTTACTTCTGCAAGTAACTGCTACTACTGCTTTCTCAGCTATGAACAAGATAAGATCAGCGCTTATATTTTCACTAGGAAGCACTGTCAAGCACTGTTGTTACTAGTCCATTATGCTGGTCTACTGGCCCAGCCTTCAATGGCAGGGACGAAAGACGCAACGTGTATAGTTGGCGAACGAAACAGACAGTGTAGATCAACAAATTATTGACGATACGTTAGCCAGCATATTTGAGTCCCGGCCACCGCAGCATTGACTAGCTGTTCGTAACATTTCGCAGACGGGCGGAGAACCGCACGCCCGCACTAGTTAGCACGACCGTTGCTTTCCCTGTCAGCCAGAAAGTCTCTAGCAATGTTCGCTAGCGAAACACCTCTGATGGTCATGCTTGCGAGCACTAGAAAGCACAAACTGTCGTACACCATCTCCCACCGTGTTCTCTTAGAAGTGCTTGCAGCCCTTTCACCACAGGCCTGAGGACGGCCCACGGAAGCTGGTCGCAGCTTTGGTTTTGGCTTTGCCGCCGGCTTGGAAGCGGGCTTCGGCGCCGACTTCGGCGCCAACTTTGGATTCGGCGGCGGCTTCGGATCTGCATGCTCCAGGCGTTCGCCTTTCTCGGCACGCTCGGCTCGCTCACGGGCCTCATGGGCGACGGGCAAGCTAGAACACAAGATGCAAGTGGTTGGACTTGCTGCGCTGCTGGGGACACACCCAGGGTTGGTAGGGTTCCGGACCATGCGGGCAGCAGCGCTTCCGCCCGGCTTGAGGTGCTCTGCAAACATCTCCTGCGACGGAGCAAGCACATTGCACCGAGCTGCAGCACGAGCGCACTCTACTTTGACACAACGCTTGCTAAAGCAGCACGGCTTCGCTTCCACTGTTCCCTCCTGCAGGTGGAGGATGGCCAAGGCATTCCCGGACCTAGGTCGGCTATCATTCTGCCGTGTGGCACTTCTAGAAAGCTGTGGGACCGGCCTTGTACCGGCAATAGTCATCTGGTGCACCTTAGCGCGAACACAACAGAGACTACTGTCTGGCTCTCTTGAAAGATGGTTCTGGGGCGCACGCTCCAGATGTTCGGCCTCCCAACACGTGAACCTCGATTTGAGACCTTCCGGATCTCTGCGGCGGTGCACCACACCAGAAGGCCGTGCTGAGTCCACTGCCCGGTCTGTTGCTCCAGTTTTCGGAGTCGCGACTGAGCCACCTCCAAGGCTTACAGTATGTTGAGCATTGGTCTGCAGGTCACCGTCCCGGCGAATCCGAAGGATCCCACTCTTTTCTTCTCGGCTTCCCTCACATGTGACCAGCGTGCTCCTAAGAGGAGCTTGCTTGCCATGCAACTACACCAGAAGCGAAAACGCCTGCTAGCAGCCCGAAATAGAGCAGAATGTGACCCAACCAGGCCCCGCATGGCAGGCGCTCGCCCTTCTTCCTCGCCACGCGCACATAGAAAGCCCCAGGATAGCAGTAGCTGACCAAGCCTCCGCAGAAGCCTCCTGTGAGACCGAAGACAACCGAGAGGTCTGGCAAGATGATCCCGGCAGACACCGTGCTCACGACAATGGCAATCACGAGACCCTGGCGCACGACTGCACTGGGCTGGGGAGGTGGACTCCGACGAGCCTTGGGCTGGAAGTCCGAAGCCTCCCGCAAATTCGACTCCTGGGGCCACTGGTACGGGGTGGAAAACACCTTGGGTGAGATCTCCTCCTCCTCCTCCAAAGCGGCGAAGGCGGCAGAGGGGCTGCTGGCCTCGAAGCGGGCGTAGACCTGGTCCTCGGGCTGGAAGAACGACCAGAACTCCCAGAACAATCGGTAGATGGAAGCAACACAGCTGAAAGCCATCACCGGGTACGAAGTGAACATAACCAGCGAGTATGCCACCTTCACATAGGGGGCTAACGGAAAATTCCAACTTTGCAGATTCGTCAGGATATCTGGCTTTGTTTGACCTCTAAACGCTCCATATCCATAGAGCGCGACGAGGGAATACGCCAGAAAGCAGAGGCCGAAACTCCAGTATGTGGCCCACATCATCTTCTCCCGTTTGGTATTAAACTTGCTGTCGATATGCTCATGTTTCTGCGCACGCAGCTCGCTGTAAAAGATGGGCACATTCATGTTGCAGGTATAAGCAAAGATCAGGACCGGGAGCTGTGTCATGACACCCGTGGTGCTTTCACAACCATACCTGAGCTGCTCAGGTGCCTGCATCTCGTGAGTCTGCTCCCCAAGTGCCACGAGCGAGACGGTGAGGAGCGCGATCATCAAGAGGCAGACAAGAGACGCGTGCCTTAAGTGCCCCATACTGGGCATGGAGCTCAGAGGCCATAGGACGAAAATTCCGCAGGCGACGAGAAGAATGGTTCGCTGCTGGAGGATGGCAGGAGCACCAATGAAGTGCATGAAAGCTGGCAGTATGTCCCCCAGAATCATAACGTAAGACACCAAAACTCCGATATTGTACAGAGCAATGGTCGAATCAATGCAGACTGCCGCTGCCTGCCCGAAGAGGACGTTTCCGACCTCTGCGTATGACTTTTGCCGCACCTCTTCCATTGCGATCAGAAGCATCCACGCGGAGACGATGCCCAATGCGGCCATCGCTATCAGCAGAAGACTGCCCAGCACCAGGCCGAGCTTGGCCATTGCGAAGGGCAAGCCCAAGATCCCTCCACCAATGATTGTGTTGGAGAGGTTGAAGATCGTGGCCCGGAAGCCTCAAAGAAAAAACAAGAAGACCCCAACGCGGAGCTCAGACTCAAAATGGAAGCAAAAAGGTTGGAACATCCTCACCCTCATGATCTTCTTATGCCCTTGAAGGTCAAGCAATCGGAATCACTTTCTAGTGTTTTCTAGTCCTATTCTCGCAGCTTGGGGGCCGATGCCCTCCGTGAGCTTCAGCAGGTTGCCGAAGCCTTCTGGGTGTGCCGTCAGTTTCAGGGATTCCTCGCTGCGACTCCGACTCTCCAGCAGCGCCATGGCAGAATGACGCCGCAGGTTGAGCTTCAAGTCCTGTCTCTTGCCTCTGTTGCTGGCGTAGCGGCGTATCTTTTTTTTTGGAGGTGGACTTTGGATCTTACGACTGTCTTTTGGGCTTGGCTGCCGATGACCCCAAGCTGTCACGCATCCATCTGCATGACGGCGCAACGCCTGCGCCGGAACTGGTGGCAGATGAGAGACGGTTGCGTGAGCATCCCCGGAGCTCGTCAGCCCCGTGTCCTGAAGAAAAAGGTCAAGCCCCAAGAGCTTACCTTCAAGCACTGAACACAAAATCAAAATATACCTGTACTGTCGCATCCCCAATCGCCACAACAATCAGAACCTACCGGCTCCCTCCCCCCCAACACCCTGTTCACTGCATCGGCAGGGAGGAGCAACGTCAGGCTCGCCTTCCCAAAGCTGGATTTGTGCATGGGAGACTTGCTGGGATCCTTTACAGTACAGTTGGTCAGTTCTCATTTCATCTGTCTGAATCGGTCTGACAACTGTGTACGAAAGCAAGAACATTACTTAGAGTGAGTCTTTTCAGCGATGCTGCAGTGCCGGCATGTATTTTTAAGGACGTGCTGTTTTGCAACAATGCCGCTGTGGCTTGACGGTATCTAAGATGACTTGATGCAGCTCAGTCTGAAAACTCCCTTGTGTTTTCGCTCGAAGCGACTGCGACGAACCTTCGACCCACTACAGTCCATGCCATGAAGCATGAAGCCTTCCGTCCGACGTTGATCCTGCATGCAGCCTTCCAGCAAACCCTAGAACTAACACCCTGAAGCCCGAAACCCCACATAGCCATGTAGCAGCCAGCCTTCTACTTACAAGTAGCTTAAACCCCGGAACTGAAACCACTAAACCCTACACCCTGAACCCGTAAACCCCTAAACCCCACACCCTAAACCCATAAACCTCAAAACCCCACAACACAAACAAAAACCCACAACCCCCAAAACCCGAAGCCCGGGGAGTCCCTGACTTGCGGAGGCCTCGGACTGGTCCGACTCTACAAGGAGCGCCTGCGAGGAGGGTTCTACAGTGGTCTGTTATAGCTTATCATAGCATACTATAGTATGTTATAGTATAGTGTATGGGATGCAAGTCCCGTAAAATGGATTACAAACACAGTTACCCTACTTATAACCCCACTTATACCTACCCGTGATGAACCTCCAAGTGGGTTTTCAAGGCTGTCTTCGGCTTTGGGTCTGATTTGCTGGGAAAAGGATTTCGGAGTTTCCGAAAAAAAGGGGACCACAGTAGCCTAAATAGCAGGGTTCTTTACTATAAGGGCCCCAAAATAAGGTACCAGGACAGACTCTCAGGACTTGGGTCCGAGGTTTTTAGGGCGTTTGGGGATTCGGGTCTCTGCTAAGGCTTCGGGTTTCATAGGAGCAGTTCCGGAATGAGGGTCTTGAGCTCACGACGCAGTGACTTTTGAGGAGTTCAGGCTTCAAACCCTCCCAAAACAATCGGATTGGCCTGTGAAGGGCTCACGCAGGGTAGGAGATCTTGGAGCAGAGCTACAGGCACCGAGGAGCTTACAGAGCCCTGGGGGTGCGTTGTTGCCGATGGGTAGACAACCATCAACTCAATCAGAAACTCGGTCTGCAGGATGATGAGGTGCATTAGCTGCCCAAACTAACAGGACCGATACTCAACTACATGCTTGTCGGACATAAGACCCTGTCTCACATGGAGCAGACCAGGCGGAACAGTTCGCGGCCACATTGTGTCTGGTTCCTCTGGATCCGAAACTAACCTGGCCTCCGCGCCAAGAAACTACCCGCGAGAACCCCGAAACACGCAACTTCCCTGCTCATGTGGCGGCTTGGGACTTCTCCGCTCCGGTCCAGCCAGTGAGACTCAGGTGGCGAGCTCATGCTTCGTTCTGTGCTACGCATCCCAGTCTTCGCGTGCCCTCCGTACTCTTGAACTCAAGCATCTTGACATGATCGCATAGGCATTGGGCATCACGGCTGACGAAATGCCAGGCTGGTCTTCTTCCTGTGCCAGTCGCCGTATCGAACGGCAGCTAGATCTTGTCCATTCCCGAGAACGTAGAGCGCAAGGGGCTGGACTAGTGTGTTGTTGTCGGGCTGGAGAAAGATGATGTTGGATCTGCCGTGCACATTGCACATCAGCTGCTTCTCCTTGCCTCGAAACACGGTGGTGCAATGCCCTAACACATCCGTTCGTCAGGACCCCGAGCATGTCACCGGCGAAAAGCACTGCAAAGCCCGGAGGCGGCTCGACTGCCACGCGCCGCCAATCAAGGCTTCCAGGCCCGGGCCGGTGCTTTGCTGGAGAGTCAAAACGCCGTAGTCGGTGTGTTCTGTGCAGGAACCATTGGTGGGGTAAAGGCTGTGGCGGAGCCGACTACCAGCCCATGTCTCTGCGCCAGCCAAAATGTTGGCTCCCAAGCTGCCTCTTGGCTCCCAGCTTTGATTTGTGAGTTGTGGTAACTCGGTGGCCACAAGCATTGACAGCGTCAGAAAAAGAGACTTGAAGCTTTCGGGGATCCACTCCAAGTCCTTCCAGGACTCCTTCCAGGACTTGCTGCGGAGGGCTGTTTGGCCGACCCCGAAGTTGCACCGAACGTCCGGAGTGTGCACCTTCGACTCCCCCGATAAAGTGCGGAGCAAGTCCTCGCCCTGAGAGAAGCGGAGCTGGTGGTTGCGCGCCGCCGGCCTGGCCTTGAAAGCGCGGAAATCCGAAGTCGCTTCCTGCCACAACTCACACGCCAGGCAGAATAGTTCGGCGCCAGAAGCTCCAGGCTCTGGCAAGACACCAAAGACGGCCAACAAACACCGAGTGCGGCAAAGAGCCCACTGCCATGTCCAGGGAAAATGGGCACTGCTACCATGCCGGCATCTACGGCCTCTTCGCCAGGCCTGTGCTGTCAGGCTTTACACAAAGAAAATCTTCGTTCCGCAGGACTTGAGGTATGAGTTCACTTGGATGCAAAGCAAACCCGCTCACGTGACAAAACAGTTGGGTGCATTGGGTTTCCACATGCCGCTGCTGAAACGACTGTAGGAACTCCTGCAACACTGAAACTGCCGGTTGGCAGTGTAATCAAAACAGTTTACACGATCCACTGCGTGCATGGAGGCTGCCGTCCATCTCGATGTGATAACATGTGTGCCACAACTCTGCCATCACTTGTGCTCGGAGCTTCTGCTCTCAACAGTTCTTGGCACAGGTATGCATGAAGCGCAACTTCTCCAAACTGAAGCGTGTTCGTGACTTCACAGCGGAGAAGCTGGTAGCATGATGCAAACAAGGTCATCGGAGCCACGGCAAATTCTGCGGCCGCCCAAGTCCTGAGGCATCGGCTTGTAGTAACCTCACTTTTGTGAATGCGTCTTTTTGGCTGTGCCCCGCACGGCCACATCCAAGCAATCGCACTGCTAATTGCTTTGTAGCAGAACTCAGTTGTTGGGCCAGTCCAGTTGGTCGACCCGTTGGTCTCGGCCCATGTCGCCAAACATGCCAAAGATGGATTCTTCTGTTGGCCGATGCCGATGCTGGATGTTGGACCCCAGAGGCGGCGAGCATCTTCTCGTTGCCCGAACCGGCGCGACAAACAGCCCTGCTGGACAAAGCCTCTTCCGCTGCCCTTGTTGACGTATTCATCCGCATTTGGCGCCGCTGAGAAGCGCATGCCGTCGAACTCAGGACTCTAGCTGGAAGAAACAGGCCGACCACCCCGCATGACTAAGGAGCTCGTGCATGCAAACAGGCTTGAGCCACCCAGGAGGCGCAGGAAATGGGAAGGATTCAGTCTTGCAGATGGGCAGCATCTTGGAAGCCTCTCCTTCCCTTCGGGGCCTTCAACTGCTCCGTATCATTCCGAGGCTTGGGCGCAGCACCGGTGACCTCATCCAAGTTTGAGTTTCTGGCATTCCAGCTTTGCTGCAGCAAGGCGCGCTGAATGCTCGAAGGCTCTCAACACAAGCTCCCTTTTCGGCGAACGTGATGCTCGATTGGAAGCTGATCGGAAATCTGACGCTCCAGCTGACATCTTGACTGTACCCTCTCGAACATCAGCTGCTCCATGTCATGTTGCATGGAGGCTTGGTCTACTGTCGAAGCGAAAATGGACACGAAGATAAGAACGGCAGGAGTCCAGAAGGCTTCGCAAACATGCTGTGCACAGCTACGGCACTTGCGCGAATGGACTTTGGAATCTGTCGATCTGAAGTTGCTGGAACTTTTCGAAGTACTCAAGATTACTCAAGAACTCTTGAACGAATCAAGTGCCCGGGTCACGCTCGTCTTGCGCGCTGATTCGCGCTCGATGCAACACTGCAGCTACGGCAGTTGGTGGCTACTGTAACTGCTTTTTGCTGAAGCCCAACCTCTAGCACAAATATCATTCCGGCCACACTCACTCACACCGACAACCCAGAGGGCCAAGTTGTGAAGAGCATTCCGTTGGAATGTTAAGATCCTATTAAGCTTTTCAAACCAGAAATTATACGCTGGATTCCAGTGATTCCAAGCAACGGCCTCAAGCTCGATCGCATGGAAATCGCTCAAGTACTCAAGTAGAGCATTATCTTCTTTCGGCATCAGACACATCGCTAGCTAGGAGCTATTCTGGCGCGTGCCTGCCTGTATGCATGTGAAATACTGGCTGTAGCTGGCTTGTCTCAACAGCAAGGTCCAGCACGCGCGCTTCAAAAGCTGTTGACGGCATGCTGAAGCTGCCGCTGCTAGCAGAACACCTCAGTTAAACAGCTCTTGGATGCCTTACCTTTCGGAGCTGTGGGCTTTGGTGCGGCTCTCAGCCTCCGACGGAGGCGGTCTCTGACAGTGAGGGCATCCCCTGATCGGCAAGCACCAGGATCTTGTAAGACGCAATGCGACTTGACCCGATGTGTCCGAGGGGCCTTAGGGGTTGTTGCCGTCACCGGAGAGCAGGGTATCGATGGCCGCGTCCACGCGGCCCTCGTGCTGCGCCAAGGCTCTAAGGCAAGCAGCCTGAGCAAACATCGGCAAACTTCTTCGGCAAGGGGGTGCGGCGGTCAGCCTACCTCGTTCGTGAAGCCCATGGCAGAGAGCTGCGTCAGCTGCGACGCGAACCGCGCTCTCTGAAGCCTCGGAGCCATTCCGGCGCGAGCCGGAATCGTTACGTACAGTACCGAGGCCTATCCGATACCAGCGGTGCACACGCCACCACTGTAAGACTCGGATGGCACATTGTCTCGCACACATACCAGGTTTGACGACCCACCTCCCTATCGAGCACCCAGGGCCATGCTTTCTCCGAAATCTGAGACCAACCTCTCATTTCTGTACCTCTACCAGGACCCTATAAGGAACCTACCTTTTTTAGGGTTCCCTAATAAGATTTTTTATATAGTATAGTCTTTAGAAAGGTAGGTTATTTGGGGTTCAGGTACACTCTGGCAGAGTCTCTGGAGCTTGCGAGTCTCAGACTCCGGCTCCGGGGTTTGTGCGGCTGCGCCTGGGGCGAGGTTTGCTCCGGCAGCATAACCGCCTGCGCCTGGAACCGAGGGTTGAGGGTTTAAGGGGTTTGAGGGGTTTAGGGTTTAGGGTTTAAGGGTTTAGGGGGTTTTTGGTTTAGTCCAAGCAATTTTCAGGGGTCGGCGGCGGCACGGGTTTCATTATCCTGAGGAGCAGTTGGGTCAAGGGTTCGGGAGTGCCTCGGGAGTGCCTCGGGAATGCCTCGGGAGTGTTTCGGGAGTGCCTCGGGAGTGTGTCGGGAGTGCCTCTGGGGAGTGCCTCGGGAGACTCTCGATAGTTTGACCTGTTCTCCCGAGCCACTCCCGAAGTTAGACACGGTTCTCACTTCCGAGCCACTCCCGAAGTGCTCCCCAGGTGCCCACGAGCTCCATCTCCCGAACCACTCCCAAGCCACTCCCGAGTTCCCAGGTCACATGCATAACCTCCTCCCTAGGTTGAACCTCTGCATACCCGGACACCTGAAAATTCCCTTGGTTTAGGGGCCAGGGATTACCCAGAGGTTTGCAGGTTATGTTTTCCGGCAGCAGTTGAACAGCGTCAAGGCAACAGCAAGAGGGAACAAATAACATCATAGGGAAACGTGGACAGAACTCCCCCTAGCATCCTTGAATCAAGAGCCAGCTGAACAACCGTCGCACTCTGCCCGACGTTGAACCAAAAACTGAGCACTACGACGAATGCAGCTCTTCTTTTTCGTCGTGTGGTAGCAGCGCTGTAGCACGCCGTTCGGCGAAGCAACAGGCTGAAACGACGAGTCGGTGCCGGGGCGCATTCTGCACCCGGCCCGCTGTCGTTCGCCTTCCGCCGAAACGCGAAAATACAAGGGCGGTGAGGGTGGGTAAAATCTTTGAACAACTCGTCGAGCCAGAGTGCTAGCGACGGCCGTCGTTCACGGTTGTTACTGCACACACACGTGTGTTTCACAACAACCGTCGCACTCTGCCCGACGTTGAACCAAAAACTGAGCACTACGACGAATGCAGCTCTTCTTTTTCGTCGTGTGGTAGCAGCGCTGTAGCACGCCGTTCGGCGAAGCAACAGGCTGAAACGACGAGTCGGTGCCGGGGCGCATTCTGCACCCGCCGTGCGCACCGACTCTCCACCTCGCGCCGGCTCAGAAGTTGAAGCCGTTGGCCAGCTCCAGGAGGTGGTCCGCCGCCTCCGTCGTGGCGTATTCGAGGTCCTGCGCCGACCTGGCGAAGATAGAGAGGATCTCGTCGGTCGGCGTGGCAACCCTGTGCCATCCCTCGGCCGTCGCCCTGCTGAAGTCGTCTCTGGAGACGGCGTCGGCGACGTTGGCCTTGGAGGGGACGCGCTCGAACTCGACGAACCAACCTTGGTGCGCCGCAAGCGTCCAGAAGGCCGAGATCATGCCATTCACCGCCGGGTCTTTCCCGTAGCCCTTGGTGAGTGCTGCCTGTCCGGCGGTGTTGTCGATGAAGGCGACGATGGCCGACGGCAGCCTGGCGCCGAAGGTAACGAAGGCGACGAGCTGTGCCAGCACCTCCAGCATGTAAATGTATGCCTTCCTCGTCGAGAAGAGCTTGACGAACCATTCCGGCGCCACGCCGTGGTCGAAGAAGACCTGGTCGCCGATTCGCAGCACGTAGCCCCAGCCGTTCGCCGCCTTCTTCGACGGTCGTACCCCTTGGGGCACGTGGCCTGCCTTGTGCTTGACCTCTCCGTCGGTAAAGAAGGCGTCGGCGTACAAGACCGACACCTCCAAGTTCTTGGCGTCGAAGGGGATGAACCTGGGGCGGATCGTCGGGAGGATCCTAGCCAGTGACCGCAGTGCCGCGGTGAGGCCGTCGGACAAGGAGTCCGCCGTCCATGCCGCTGTGTCGGCCGCCCTGGCGTACACTGCCTTCGTTTCGGCCTTTGCGACGGAGCCGAAGGCCGCCTGTGTGAGGAAGGACACTCTGCCGGCGAGTTTAGCTGCCTCGGCGGGGGACAAGCTGTCGTGGTCGAGTGCTCGGCGGATCTGTTCCATGATCTTCTCGACTCTGATCTCCGTCGGCTTGAGGGTGACGCCTTGTGCTTCGACCTGAAACTCAACACCTTGTACGACGTGGCTCTTCGCCGGGTGCTGTGCCTTCGACGCCTTGGTGAGGAAGCCCAGCGCCGCGAAGAGGTCCTGAAAGGAGACCATCGCCGAGCAAGGCGTCGTCGAGGCCGTTAAAGTCATCCACGTAGTGACCCGTCGCCAGGAGCAGCAAGCCTCTGAGTAGCTGTTGCAGTGCGTCGGCACCTCTGTTGAAATTCCAAACCGACGCCGTGGCCCCAAAGTTCATGGCCAGGTGGTACCAGAAGGTCACGCCGTGCTTCGTCGAGAGGAAGGTGCCGCACTCTGCCGGCCGTCGAACAGGCCACTGGCGGTAGGCGTTGAGCAGGTCGTTGCCGAACACCACGACGTCGGGGGTGTCCTGCACCATGCGTCGTGCCAGGTCGACGAAGCTGCCGATGAAGTGGTGTGTCGGGACGTCGTCCACGGACACCGTGGCATTGTGTCCGCTGCGTCGCCAATCCTCTGCGCGTCGGACCTTGAGGTCGCCCTTCTCGTCGGTTTGGCACACCGGAAACGAGCCCGCTAGAAAGTGCTCGCCGGGCGGCGGTTCCACCAAGGTATCGGCCACGCTCTGGTCGGGGACCGCCGTGGCTCTGGCGTGGAGCCATGATGGCGCCGCCGTCGGTCCAATGACTCTGCCCAGCTTCTTCTCGGCGAGGAGCTCCTGAAGAAGCTGATCGGCGAATTCGCCGCCATCGGGCTGAGCTACCTTGTGGCGGACGTACTCGGCGTTGGTCCGGCGGAAGGTGTCCATGTCCGTCGGATTTTTGTAGCGTCCGTCGTCTCTTTTCCTCCATCCTGGACCCGGGCGGATGTCGCCGATCATCTGGAATCCCTCCGTCATGTCCTGCTCGAGGGCGTCGATGTCGGGGTAGTCGACGAGGCGAAGCAAGTTCAGGAAGACCAAGACCTGCGTCGGCGCCGGCTTATCCGGCGTCGAATAGGTGGCTCTGACCCATGATGATCGTGCGGCGAGCCACTCCCGGGTCTCGTAGGCCGCGTCGTCGATCATGGTTTTGACCTCTTCGACCACCTCGCGTCGAATCCTAGCCAGATCGTGGCGCCATGTGCGCCGTATGACCAAGAGTCGCTTTCACGCCGGCTGGGCGTCGGTCGCCAGGGGATGCGCCATGGTCCAGGATGCCGTCCAGTGCGCCTGTTCGTCGAGGTTCTGGATGTAGGCCACGCCCGGCCGAGGCGGGGCTGGGGCCATGGTCGGACCGCCGGGTCCCCACAAGGAGGCCACCGGCCCACTGTAGCGTCGATCGGCGAGGGGACCGTGGTATTGGTCGTGCCGTCGATGGCGCCGATGTCGAGTGCGATCGTCGAGTGCTCCGGCGGTGGATCGCGCCGTGTAGTCGGCCGGCGTGTGGTGGAGCTGCTCCTTCACTTTCGGCGGCAGGATGTGTAGTCGGCCCTGGTCGTCGGTGAGCATGGCGTCTCTGGCGTAATGCCACGGCGCAAATTGGCGGCCGCCGGTCAGCCACCTCTGCTGGGTGTCCGACGTGATCTTCCCTCTCGTCGACCTTGGTGCCGCCCTGCCTCCTTCGTCGGCTGCTAGCGTCGTCGCACATGGGAGCCGGACCCTGCCACTGGCCACTGCGTCGGAGAACTTGAGGCCGTGGAGGTCGAAGTCGTCGGGCGCCGCCCGAGGGGAGTCCAGCCGTAGTCTGTTCCAACGGCGGTGGAGTGCCCCGTCGGCGGGTCTCGAGGCAAGTCCTCCCAGTCGATCGTCGACTGCACAGGCGGGACCTGCCTATCCATCCGAATTCCGCCGCGTCGGTGAGGATGGGTTCGCACTCCAGTGCTTTGGTCGCCGCCGCAGCGTCGGCTTGTGTCATCTCGACGTTTTCGACTAGTTTCCCAAGCCGTCGTGGTGCGACCAGCGGCGTCAACTCGGCGACGTACTCGGCCGTAAAGTTGAATAGGTATCCTCGGTCTCCGTCGTGGCCCGCTCTGTCGCCGCATGAGAAGGCTGGACTGCCCGCCGCCGCCGCCGTGCCACCACTGTTGGTTCCTCCCGTCGGTCTTCTGCTGCCACCAGCCCGCGTTGGCGTCCTGCTCGTTCTTCTTGCCGCCGCCCTGGGACTGATCCTTGCCGCCGCGTCCTCGTCCTTTGCCGCGGCCCCCCTGTCGGCGTCGCTTGCGGTCCTCTTAGTCGGGTTCGGCGTGGAGAGGAGGATTTCCTGCCACGTCGCGACGTCGTCCATGATCTCCTTGGTGGCCTCGCCGAAGGACTTGTTGTTCCTGAGGGCCATCGCCAGGTTTTGTCCCTGGCGCGTGCGACGAACCAGTCGACATAGGCCATGACGTCGGCTTCGTCGCCGATGCCCAGCAGGATCCATGCCCAGCGTGCGGCGTTGGCCCCGTCGATGGTGGAGAAGAAGCCCTTGGGTACCCACTCCGTCGGCTCCTCCTGTAGCAGGACGCCGTGCTCCAGCCGCAGCGCCTTGGAGCTGGCCGCCGACGTCGACCTGGACAGGGCCAAAGGGTTGAGAGTCCGTGCCGCCGTCCAGGTGCGTCGTGATACGATCTCGCCGAGCGTGACCGGCGTGTACATCTTGGATGTGGTGTGCTCGAACCACATCCTGGCCAGCACCTCCTCGGCGCCAAGAAGCTCATGAGACGGGAAGGTTCGTCGTTTCCCGTCGAGGCGTCGCTCCTCGATGTTGACCTGCTGGTTCCACGCCGAGAAGGTCTTCGGTGGCCTGTCGGGGATGGCCGGCGTGGCCGTCGTGGCCGGCGCCGCCGCGAGCGCCGGCGTGGCCGCCGGGGCCGGGACCGGTGACGAGGCTGCCGCGGTCCACTGTCGGGTGGCCTCGACGAACAGGTGGGTCATCACCGCCGTCGCCACGTCGTCTTGCCCATCCTCCACCTTGTGGTCGGTGCCGTCGATGCGGGTCCCGGCGATGTAAGGGTGTATGATGTGCGTCGTGAACCTCTCCACATCTTTGGCGACCAGGGCCAAGGTGGGCGTCGTGGTGATCTTGCGCGCCTTGACGTAGTTCTTGATGCTGTCGTTGCGCCGGCCGCCGCGAGGAGGTCGTCGAGCTGTACCATGGAGGCCGCCACCGTGGGAAGTGCCATGGCTGACGGCGGCTACGTCGACCTAAGTCGGGGGGGGGGCGACTCGAAAGAAAGGAGCTGTGGGTGAAACACCGTCGGCACATTTCGGGCGCGAGCCCTCGACGGTCTCCCGGTTGGACTCAAGAAGTGATTTCACGGCTGGTCGTTGAGTGCATGGTCTGGTCGTCGGGGAGGCTTACGGCGATTGCCGGCGACCCCGCGACTCGTCACAAAATGGCGACGGTATTCCGTCGATCTGTGCCCCCGCGGAGTCCGACGTCGCTCCGCTAGTGGAGGACGACGAGCTCGACGACGAATCGATCGCCTCCGGTGCCTCAACATCGACGGTTTCCGTCGGGAAGCACTTGCGGCATAGCGCCGGGTCCGGCGGCAGCTCGGCCAGGCGAAAGACCTGTCGCACGCCGTATGGCCAGCCGCACTTGGCCTGCCAGTCGGATCTTTCCGTCGTATTCTCGTCGACCCCCGGCTTGTGCACCATCTTGGTGCGGCAGTTCATGACATACCGGGGCGCCGAGTCGCCGACCGCGTCGTCGATTGGCATCCTGACGGGTTCCGGCACAAACTCGACGCCGGGCACCTCGACCGCAAAGTCGACGTCTGGGACGGCCGGGTGCGGGCCCGGCTCTGCCCTGCAGCTCCGCCCGTCGGCGTGGAGTCGAGGATGGCTGCCGGCGTTGACGGTGCCGCTAGTGGGGCCGCCGTCGGTGTCGATGAGCTCGTCGCGGCCAAGGCGTGGGCTGGCACACCGGCAGCCACGGCGAGGGGTGCCTGTTGAACATATCTTTCCACGGCACCGAGGAGCTGGATCACGGCGACCGGCACCCCCCGCATGGCCAGAAAGGTCGCGCCGGCCACTCTGGCGGCGTGTCCCCCGAAGATCAGCCGTCGCTTGCCTTGGTCGTCGAGGTACACCGTCTCGAACCCGGCGGCGTCCAACACCATCCGGAACATCTCGGCGGACTCCGCCTTGGACCTCTGTGCCGACGGGCGCGTCGGGAAAAGGAAGTCGGCGGGCGAGGCCGCGGCCGATGCCTGGATCCGTCGAAGATGGCGGTGGGCGGCGCATCTCGGGCACAGTGGGTGGGCCGTCGCAGTGCAAACGCATCTGAAGGTCCGTCGTGTCAGGTCGGTCTGTCCCCCCTGCGCCGTTTTGTGTAACGGTATGTCGAGCGACACCGCCGCCAACGTCACCACCAGATCCTTGACCCTGGCCGCCGCTAGCTCCACTTCCCTCAACATAAACCACGTTGCGACGATGATGACGTCGACCGCGTGGGCTACCAGGCCGGCGTTGAAGGCGGTGAACGGTGCCGTTGCGTCGACCAGCTTGGCGAGTTCGTCGAGGTCGAAGGCCTGCTTGAGCCTGGATCCTGGCAGGCCCCGCGCCGCCGCCTTGGTCAGTGTCTTCCCGGCGGAACTGGCATATGGAGTGTGTTCTCCTGGTGCCACACCACCGCGTCGAGATACAGGGTAGCCGGCGATGCGCATGGCCCCGGCGATGGTGTGGAGCTTGTTGGCGTCGAGCGGGAAGAGGGCGAAGAGACCTCTCTCCGCCAAGGCGGTCACCGTCCTCACCCTGGACTCCATGGCCCGGCGGGTAGAGGACGATGGCGGCGAGCGTCTCCTGACGTCGCCCTGGTTCCATGGCCTCCATTGCCGCCACCAGGGATGCCCTGGGAATGTTCCTCCTCGTCGGCACGTCTTGCCTTGGGCGTCGTGCTGCCGGTGGCTCGGCCGCCTGCGGCGGCACCGGCGAGAGGATGTGGAGGAGCAGCCCCTCCGGCACGCCGTTGTCCAGGAGGATGGCAAAGGACTCCCTCATTAAGGCCGGCGTGTCGATGGCGCCGAACCTGGCCAATGTGGCCACAGGCCGATCCGCCAGCCGAGGCGACGTCGCGAAAGAAGTCGGCGACTGTCCTGGCGGCTCCCGGTGTCGTCGTCTCCGAGTTCATGGTCGATGGGTGGGGGGTCGTCGTCCGATCTGCGTCGGGGGATCTCGAGCCAGAGCAAAAAGGGCTGCGGCAGGAGCAGAGAAGGCAACGGCGACGACCGAGCGACCGAAGAGAGAGAGAGAGAGAGAGAGAGAGAGAGAGAGAGAGAGAGAGAGAGAGAGAGAGAGAGAGAGAGAGAGAGAGAGAGAGAGAGAGAGAGAGAGAGAGAGAGAGAGAGAGAGAGAGAGAGAGAGAGAGAGAGAGAGAGAGAGAGAGAGAGAGAGAGAGAGAGGCCGACAGCGACAGCAGGCGCGACCGACGAGGCTCACAGTGCACGGCGGTCTTTTTTGGCGGGTGCGTCGGGCTCAGCCAAAAATGGCACCGTGCGGCGTTAGCGCCGTATGAAAGCAACTCTGGGAACGACGAAGTCGTCGAAAATGAAAGAAGATGAGGCGGCGGTGGGCTCTGCAGATCCTGCCCCCCCTGCCGTCGACTGCCGCCGCGGTGCCGACCCGATGGCCGAAGCCGGGTGACATTGGCACCCGCGGGGCGTCGTCAAGAAACTCAATCCTGTGCGCCGACCATGCCGTGGCATGCGGCGCACTCGTGACTGACGTGGTCCCGGCCGTTACCCTCCACGACGGGACGCAGACAGCGGCCTAAGCCCGGCTGGTTAGCGTCGTACAAATCGTCGACATGAGGGCAGTATACGGCGAAGTGCAGGGGTGCGAGCACCAGCCAAGCACACGGCGGGCGGCTTCCTGGCATTTGCCAAGGAATCCTTGCGCCGCGTGTGTTGGCGGGAAGCGTCGAGACAAACCAATATGCACAGTAGGTGGGTGCCGAGATCGGCGGAGGTTTCGGCGTGTGGCCGTCGATCCCCTGCCGGGCCAGGTTCTCCTCCGCGATCACGTCGTTCAGCGTCGTCCTGAGCAAGTGCTTGACGGACTTCGGCGGCTCGTCGACGGCTCTGGCGCCCCGGCGGCATGGCCCGCTTGTGCTGGAGGTATTCGTCGGACATGTTGAGCTCTATCTGGCGGATTCTCTCGTCGCTCCAGATGCTCACGAAACCCAGCCGCCGTCTTGGATCTGGACCTCGCCCCCGTCGGAGTCGTCGTTCTTGTGGCTGCTGGTGGTCCGACGTCCGTCGAGGAGCTGGCGGGCTGATCTGCTGGCCGCGCCCCCGGCGGGAACATCCAATCGGCCGATCCGCGGCGGTTGGCGGCGGTGTCGGCGGCCTCCTCGTAGAGGCTCTCGGGCTAGGCGGTGTCGACTGCCATGGTGTAGACGCCGCCGAAAGCGGCGGGAAATTGGCCCGGGCTGGGGGCGTGTCGATCACCGCCGAGGGCGACGGTGGGTCCATGGTCGGCCGCTCGCCCCTTCTCGTCGATCTCCCCCGGGTCGTCGATCCCTGACTGCCAGCCGTCGAAATGGCGTCGTCGTCCGGCCTCGGCGCCACATCCCTGAGCAGGGTCGCCGCCATGGTGATGACCTCATCGGCGGCTCCGTCGCCCGTCGTGGTAGCCGGCGTCTGCGCACCAGTGCTGGCTGCAGGCCGTCGTGCACCCTCCGCGGTGCCCTGACGCGCTGGCCAGCCGCGTCCCACGGCCCCACAGAGGGATGGGAAGGAAAGAGTAGATCCCGAGAGGCAACCCCCCAGGAGTGCCGTCCCCGAGGGCATCGTCGACTGTGCCTCCATGGCGGCGAGCCCGCGTGATGGTCGGCAATGCTGTCGTCTCGGGCTCCCTCGTCTCCGTCGGGTCCAGGAAGGCCGCGGCGGTCCTTGTCGTCGAGGAGGTGGGTGCGTCAAAAAAAACTGTGCCCGAGACCTGGTCGACATCTCTTGCCGTCGTGGACGGCGGCGGGTTCCACTGCACCTGGCTGGCCCACGCCGTGGGCGGTGCCCCGACGCTCTGCTGCAGGATGGTTGCCGTTGGCGAGCTCCCTGGGCCCGTCGGTGGAGTCGGCGTAGCAGGTGCCGTCGACGAACTCCCGGGACCCGTCGATGTAGGCGTCATAGTTCCGTGACCCGGCGGTGGGGTCGGCGCAGCCTTCACCTGGATCGGCCCTTCCGCCGTCGTCACCCTCTGCGGGAAGAGGCGCCCCATGTAGGCCTGGCGTTCCTCCTCCGTCGGTGGGGCCGTCGGGGGCACCACAAACATCACGGCGACGAGCTCGGCGAGGGCCGTCCTGTCTTCCATCCCCAGGTTCGCCGCCAGCTCAGCCCACGCCCCATAGCCATTCTCACGTCCACGGCGAAGAACATTGCGGAGCTCGCGGACGGCGACGTGGACACCGACGTCCGGCGATGCCACTGGCTGTGGGGCTTGCGGCGGTGCCTTGCGAATCAGCCGCACCGTCGTCTGGGGCGTCGATGAAGAGGCGGCGCCAGCAGGAGTCGACATGGCGTCGATAGGAAGTGAAAGCTAAAATCTTTGAACAACTCGTCGAGCCAGAGTGCTAGCGACGGCCGTCGTTCACGGTTGTTACTGCACACACACGTGTGTTTCACAACAAATCACCGGAGTTTCAGATACCGTCTTCAGCAAATGAACTACCGCGGATCTGGGGCCGGTGCGCCAAAGCCGCATCTGTCCAAAGTTCGGAGCGTTCCGGTTTAGGGAGCACCGAGGCTCCGGCCCCCAGCGAAAGGGTTCATCGCGGGATTCATCATCATGGACATCAGAGCAGGATTGCTCATCCTTGGCTGAGGGTCCAGCGGTTTAGGGTTGCTCTATGGGGAGGGGTTTCGAGGGTCTGTACTCTAAGAAGTTGCATGCTTCCAGATGGTCTTTTGGAAGAGCATCAAAGACTTTCATTATCGTCGTTGCACGTGTCACGCGCTGCTTTGTGTAACTCTGTGTAAACGGTGAAGCAAACCTTTCTTTCCCAGACCTGCAACACTTCTCCACTGGGCGCACGAACATCTGGTCCCGCTTTTGCTGTTTAGCATTTAGCATGGAAAAACGGCAAGCTGCTTGTAAAGGGAATCTGACGCTCGTAGAACACGTACAATTTCAGCCGGGCATCATCTGTTGCATCATGTTCATGGGAGGTCCGGCCGTGCCCGCTCCCGGCGCCGTCGCACCGGCCGTTCCCGGCGCGGTCGTGCCAGCTGTCGGTGCTTGGGCTGGGCTGGTCATGCCACCAGGAGCCCCCGAACCGGCCATGCCACCCATGCCACCCATACCACCCATACCACCCAGGGCGCCCAAACCCCCCAAGCCACCCAAACCCCCAAAGCCGCCCATGCCACCTAGGCCACCCATGCCACCAAGACCACCCATGGCACCTAGGCCACCTGGCGCACCGCCCAATGCACCTGGCGCACCTAGGGCGCCTGGCGCGCCCAAGGCGCCTAACCCGGCCATGCCGCCTGCCGGGTTGGTGGCTGCAGCTGGCCTCGGAAAAACGGCAAAGAAGCTGACACCGTCACACCGTCTCTCAGTTTCGCGTGTTGTCTGGGTTTCCGGGCGCAGGGGTGGCCGCGGGGGTGTTCGCGGTCGGCGCCGGGCCCCAAGGATTGGGCAGCGCCTCCCGGACATCGCACAGCGCAGCCATGTCATATCATGTCATGCAACGCCGGGATCGGCCTCACTGCTAGGTCCAGAGCTAGTGTCCTGCGAGTAGTCGACCCTCGGTTGCAAACGCGAGAACCGCACCGGCGTCAACATCTCAGAGGTTGCTGGAGGTACTTTGACGTGCTCAGCTCGCCGCGCCGTCGCGTTCCCACCGCTGGCGGTGCTGCCTCCTGGAATCAGCGTAGGGCGAGGTATACAGGTATATGGGTGTGTGACATGCGAATCGTGCAAGTGCCATTCAAAACTTCGGTGCCGGTCGCCGGCCTCCTGACATAGCCTCAAAGAGCGGGTCTGCAAACTCCTCGTGAGCTCGCACCTGTGCCCAAAAAGAACAACAACGGGAGAGAGAGAGAGAGAGAGAGAGAGAGAGAGAGGGAGAGAGAGAGAGAGAGCGTGTGTCAGCGGCGCAAGCCCCTGGCCAGCGCGTTGTGACCGCCCGGCATGGCGTCAAGCTGGCCCAGGGCGCGATCTGCATTCCTGGCATGGCCACGTAGGATCGTCCCTCTTCACCCCCCGAGCCTCCACCCGTGCGTGGGCAGTCCTCGTCATTTCTCGCATCAGCGATGGATTGGCAACCATGCGCATGGACTGCTGGAGCAACTGCACGAAACCGGGCGTTTGAAGGTCAGAAGCTGGCGCTGGCAACGAGCGTCTGTGCCTCCGGATCTTCCAGCATTCTGGCGATCCTCGGCAATTCTCGGCATATGTTCGGCACTGGAGGAAGACCGGGGTCAACAGAGGACTTGATGGTTCCGCGCTCACGTCCGTTTAGCCTGGGCTCTCCGGTCGCTGCTCCATGAGCTCGTTCAGCTGCGGGTTCATGCGAACCATCGTCCTGCAGCCAGGGTCAAAATTCCGGCCAAGGGCCAAGAGCCAGGCGGAAGACCAAAGCCGATGCCTCAAAACCTCCGGGTTGCTCATCATCTGCTGAACCATGGGCGAGTTCATCAGCTGCTGCCTAGGACGACAGGTTTCTTGGGACCCCTTTCAATGCACACAGCCCGTCATAGTCCGCAGCATCATCTCTGGATTCTGCATCATCTGCTGTTGAGTCTGCGCCTCGGCACGCACTACGCTCGAGAAAGGCGCAACCCTCCAAGCAAGTCTGCGAAGAAACCCGACCTCGCTTTACGGCACTTGAGAAGTCGCGGCCGTCTGGAGCCTGAGCTATCGGCCATCATCTGGGAGAAAGGATCACCTGCGACCAAGGCTTCTGAGCCATAGATGTGAAGTTCTGAACAAAATACCCCCAGGTGTCCCAAGACCTCGGGCCGAGGTTGTCCTTAAGGTGTGGCTCAGCCGTGGTTGTCGGGGGGAGCTAGAACTTGCAAGATCCTGCAGCATGCAATGAAGCATTCCAAGTTGCGGGGTCTTGTTTTGCATCAAGCTATAAGGGCGTAGGGAAATTACACATTGCAAGGCCCTGGCTGGCATCCCCGATTGTTTGATTCCAAGCGGGACCCTGCAACATGTAATTCCTGAATGGCTTGATGCGCAACAGGATCTTGCAACTCCTATAGCTTCACCCAGGACACAAAGCAAGGAACAAGAAACAAGCAAAAGCAGAAAACTAGCAGTGACAGCAGAGACCAAACAACAAGCAGCAACACGATGCCAAATACAAGTAGGAAGCATGCAAGTAAACGCAACAGCAAGGCACCCAATCAAACGAAAGAAAACAGAAGCTTAAAAGCAAACTGTTCCAGAAGCAAGAATCAACAAAGCAAAGGGAACAGCAGCGCAGGGCCGCGCCCTTTTAAACAAACTCTCTCAGGAAGCCATGTGCCACAAAACTTCGCGGCGACGCGCTTAGCCCCAAGAAGAGCACGATGACCGGCTTGTCTTTGCTGCAGATTACCGCGACCGCACCTGAGTTGGCCTGCGGCGCGGGTGCTGCGCCCATCATCTGCGCCATGGGGTTCGCCGGTGCCTGGGCCCGGAGGTGTGGTTCGGATGCGTCGGGGATTTGCAACTGAAGCCCCCGGCTAAGGACTGGCTGGCGGCTGGAGGGGCCTCCCTCTGCCTCGGTAGCACCCGGCATTTTGCGGGTGAGGGCCGTGTAGCGAGATTTCTGAGGGGCGGGCGGATTGTTTAGACAGTGCACCACGACTCCGTCTTTCGGCTCGTAAGACCCGACGGTCTGGGTGTCCTGCAGGGTGCGCTGAGCAGCAGAGCCCCGTGCGGTGCTCCGATTCCCGGCCTGCCAGATGCGGCCGACGCACACCAGCCGAATGTTCTTCGCTGGGATGTTGACTTGTGCGGAAACCTCGCCCCGGCCCCATGATGCCCCCCATGCCTCTCAAGCCTTGGCCATGCACCCAGCCTTCTCCTTCAGCTCCTCTACGGTAGCTGTCGTGTCAATGCTCACCTGAAACTCGCCCGCGTTGGCGCCAGCAGGCGCCTGGCAGCGGCGGCGAATGCAAACCTGACATCCGTCGGCGAGTCGCGTGGCGTGGCCTGGCCTGGACGGGCTTGATGGTCAGATTGACAGAGGCCATGCCTGGAGCAAAACAGGGCCCGTGCATTCTCTGCACGCTTCCGCCCAGCTTCTGAGGCAAGGGCCCCGCGCGGGCGGAAAAGAAATCGAATTGAAAGGAGCGGCTTGAAGTGAACAAGCTGCGACACGCGCCATGATCATGATCTTGCATGCTGTTTCATGACACAACCACAGGCTCTCTCTCGTCAGCGATGGCGGATCACGCGCGATTCACGTGGGTTCAAAACAGGAGAGTTCAGCAGACGAGACTGCAGTGTGCGCACCGAAACTCTGAGAGTTTCTATGCGCCGCACTTCTGCTATCCGACCAGCCACCATTTGAGCTGCTTCCACAATCACCTGTGGAGGTGAGAGACCCGAAGCTTATGTCTCGGGCGTATGCCTCCCCGCTTCCTTCGGGCACCTCGACCTCGCCACTGATCACTAGCAGCTGCTCCGCTCCTACTCGCGAAACCGTGAAGCACGGCCCAAGCAAGGCCAGGTGCACATCCAGCGGTCTCCTGCATTCAGCTGGGCCAAGTCCATCTCGGCACCCGAGCTGCGCCGAAGCTCCTTGATAGCCTCCACAGCGCAAGCACACCAATTGATGTATGTCACTGGCTTCACTCGCAGACCTCGCCGCCGCGGCCGATAATGTATCCGGCCGTGCCTCCCCCCCGATCACCCTCTGCACATCCAAATAATGATCATGTCAACACGGCCGGGCGCCTGCCGGCAGCACTATCCTGGGAAGTGGCACAGTCGGGACTGCGGAAAGAGCACTCTCCATTCCATCCTACCAAGCTGATCAAGCTGCCTGATGGACTCCGTCCATCCGTCTGGGAGGGTTGATGCCTCCACAACGCAGATTTTTCATGCAAGCTCCACTCAGAGGAGCGAGTGGCCTGTTCCACCACCATCTCAATGGCGCTCATCAGCGCCTCGGAACTTCACTTCGGGCCTTACCAGGCAATTGTGCATGATGGTGCATGTGCGCCTGCTCTGCGCCGCGGATGTCGATCACACGGTAGCGTGCACCCTCCTTGGAGACCTGTGCAGACTTTCCAGAAATCTTGCCGGCCTCCGTGAAAGCTTGTGACAGACTGTCGAACGGCATAGCAGCATATCGGACTGGGCAAGAGACATCGATGCTAGCTCCACTTTGTGCACGTATTGCGTTGATGGACCTTTGCAAAAACGACTCACCGGTGTTGCTTGAGTCACTCCAGGATTGCATGCAGCATGTGCAGCCACGCAGCTGGCCCTTGCGACCCACAATCCAGGCAGCAATAGCTGCAGGTACTGCAAACTGGAGCGACATCTGGCGCCGGTACGGAAGCCCGCTGAAATCTGCGGTTGCAACGTGGGCATAACTAGCAGGCCTGTCTGGCTTTGCCCTTACCACCGTTGATCGGAGTGGGCGCAGTGAGACGTGACAGCGACAACTTCGAAGGCTCCTTGCACGATACAATTTAACTTAATTCCCTGACACGAAATAAAGCTGCTGTCCGCTGCTGTCTCCTTCGCTTCGCCATCTCCCCGTCCCGACCACCTCAGAGAAACGGGTCAGTATGACTCGCAGCAGTAGTCGTCGTGGCTGTGATCGTGGGGTGGGGGTTTGGGTGGGGGTGGTTTGGCCGCTGCGACGGCGGTGGTGGCGGTATAGCTGTCTTTGTGCTGCCATGGTGGTGCTGTGACGGCGGCGGTCGTCGTCTGTGTAGGCGCGGCCAGCGGCGGCCGCGGGGTTGTGGTGGTAGTCGTCGAGAGGTCGTAGTGGTGGTAGTGGTGGTGGTGGTGGTGGCGGCCGTGGTGGTATTGGCAGAAGCGGTGGTATTCGTGGTCATCGTCGTCGTGGTTTTGGGGAGGCGACGGCAGTGTTGCTGACGCTGTTACTGTTGCTGCTGAGGTGGTTGTTACAACATGATGTTTTACTGTCACCTCACTATTTCCTTTTCACCTCTCAGTAATGAAACAAGTTTACAATTTGTCTTTTGTAGTTGCCACGGTTTGTCATGCTTGATGTTCACTGCGTGTCATTGACTTGTCCACTCTGTACTTGTTGAGTTGCTGATTTCGGCATGTTTACAGAGGAATTGCAATGCTTGTCTTGATCTTGCTGGCGTATCCCCAGCATGGTTCTAAATTCTTAGCACGTTTCCTTCACACTGCTGGGCCCGGTTTGAAAATGTTGTTTGCTCTTCGTGCTTCGTTTATCGTCGCTGTTGTGTCGTTTCTGACCTTATCCTTATCCTACTCACGTCACACGCGTTGGTGCTCTTCACAGTCTTCACACTTCTTCATAACTTTTTAACGTACGCGGTTGCACTACAACGTTGCGGCGTTGCACTCGCACATTGCGCGACTGAGGGTTCGGCATTCGCACCGTCGGAGAGCTTTGCTGGATCTTTTCCAGAAGCGGGGAATCGTCGGCAGCCTCTGCGAGGGCTTCAGGTTTTCGGGTCGCCTCGGCCCGGCTTTCCTAGGACCTTTGTTGCGGTGTGTGGTGTTTGCGCCAATTCTGTCGCTGTCAAGACCTGAGGGCAGGACAGGATCTCCATCCACATCCTTCAGAACGCATTCTGAAAGTTGCCCTCACGAGGCTCTTCAACCCTGTAGGTGCATTACATACCTAACAGGTACCCCTATCCTTGTCGATTCTGAGGCACTGCTGTCCTGAAGAACCCGAAGGACCCGGTAGACAGCTGTGGTACACCTGGCAGGCAGGCATGGTTTACAGATCTACCAGGGCTCAGGGTCAGGGGCGTGAGGAGGCAACCGTGAAGACTTCCGAGCTCATAAATGTATGACCATGTATTTTGGAATGGAACTTACATACGAACTGCTGCGTCGAAGCCGAGACAATTTTGTCACGCTCTCAGACTCGGATCGGATGCATCGGCTGGCGACACGCTGCGGCCACTCTCTGGACAAGCTACATAATTCCCAAACCTTAAGGCACTAAGGCACTAAGGATCACCCAAGACCCAGCCAAGTCGCTCCCTCCTCGAAACGAAAGAAACATGTAAGTCCTCCTGCCAGCATTGCCGGGCATGAGAACCGTGGAGAAAAACGCCGGCAGGACTCCAGGACGGGTCCCACGATCTGCAGCGGATGGTCCTCCCATGTTTCAATTTATGCTAAGACGGCACCCCGTGCTGCCATGATTCTAAGGGGCCTAGTCTAGGTCTTGCTGGAGATTCCGTTGGGTGGACTTTGAATTCACAGTGCCGTGGCCTTAGCCTTAGCCGATCATATCCAAGCACACCTACCTGACCAGTCTAAGGGTTCAAAGGAGTTTCACGGATCACAAGTCCTTCGTCAACCGTTCCAAATTACGGTCCCAAGCCAGTTTCGGGAAGAATCCATGGGCCAATCGGGCGACAACGGGACCGGCCACATGTTTCCAAGCACGTTCCAGGTGTTCTCTCTTACCGCATGTGAACCTATGAAACATGGAAATGTGGGGCTGCCGCAGTGCTGTTGCCACACACTGAGCTCCGAAGTGAATCCCTACAAGGATCGGAACAAAGTTTTTGAGCCGGCACTGCACCACACTCCTCCAGACCTTCAATCTCGTCCTGCCGAGGATGACAGCAGGGCCGTCTCAGGAGTGGAAAATGAAAAGCTTGGTGCTTAGGCAACCTTTGTGTAATGCCCTCATCATGCACCTGTACTCGTTACTGGGATTTCCGGAAGACTTCCACAAGAGCCCTTCAACTTGGGACACATGTTCAAAAGCAGCTCGGAGCTCGTCAGGTATTGGCCCAAAAGCCTCAATGCAACACCGCCCCGAAGATGCCTCCTCAAGGATGAGATCAGCTCCGGTTTGCTCGCTGAGCGCCGACGCCTGCAGGCTCCAGCTGCCGGGAACCACTCCCACCGCCATTACCAAAAGAAACCTTTGGTAATCGGAATTGTGCACAAACCATCACAAACCCTACACAGCCCTCTGGTAGCATATTATCCGGACGTACCTCGCGATAAGGCTTCTACAAACCTTGGGCCAACTCTAGTTCGGTCCGATGGTGATTTCACCGCCATGTAGGGTTCAGGGTCCAGGGCTTCAGAGGTTAACGCACAGCAGTGTCTTCGGCTTGCTTCATGACCGCTGGCAAGGTGTTCTCAAGACCATTGCAAGCGGGATAACTGTGGTTGAGAACACTGGTTGCTTGGTCTGTTGTCTTCGCGACATCTGGCTGCAAAGCGCTGTGACAGTGACGCTGGACTTGTACATGAGAACAGTTTCCTCGGATCTGTCCTATGCCAAGGACGATGTCTTGGGTGCAAAGGATCCCTGTTCCTGGCCCCTACGAATTACTCACATATCAAAAGCATCACAGCTTCCTGATTGGACAAGGGACCAGTGCAGCAAGCTTGAATGCACCTTCCAGCTGCAGAGTACTAAAAGGCCTTCTCGGCCACAGCGTCGTAGCGCGACGTTGGGACCAGCATGACAAAAAGGCCTTGCTCTTTGTCGCTGAGCCCCTGAACCTGCAGCTGTCACTTAGCAATCAACTTGATTGCGGGGCTACATTCTACACCATTCGGAGAGTTGGCATGTTTGCCCGCAATTATCACTGTCTACCTGCCAGATCAGCACACAATTCGTGCGCACATCCATTCGTCATGACATGTAACCCAAAGCCTGGAAGTCTCAGCCATTGTCCCTGCAGCCTGGACCCTCCTCAAAGTGATCTAACGTGCTTACGAAAACGGCAGAGACACATTGATGACTCGAACGCCACGTTGTGAAGGCCACAAATCACCGAGTAACCCTCCTCAAAGAACTGAATCCCTTTTCTCCACTTGTCACCTGGAAAAGAGTCTCCACCACGCACCGGCAAGCCAGCACCTGGAAACTCGTGATCAGGTTTTGAGCGACGAGCCTTTATTAAAGCCTCAGTGTGCAGCGTGTGCGACCCATCCACGACCCACCTGTCCATCCCTCCATCCCTCCCTCCATCCTGCCATCCTGCCATCCATCGGTCCATCCATGCATACTTATACTAGTTGCATTACATACAAGCACACGCGAAGACAAAAGGACAGGACAGGACAGGACAGACATACGCACAAACATGCAGACATCCATCCATTTGTGAGTCTATGCATGCATACCATTGTATTGCCGTACGCTGCTACACTCCGACACATTACATTCCAGTCCATCACATAACCTCACATCAGTTACATTAGATCACGTTACATCACATTTCACATTACATCACATCACATTACGTTACATTAGACCGCATACCTCGGTGTGCGTGAGTGTAAACCTCGACAGCACGGATCCCGCCGCCTGCCCCTGCAAGTCGCCCTCAATGACCACGATTTGATCGCTGAGGGACTCCGGAACGTCCTGCAGCTTTCTGGTGGTCAACGCATCATCTTACCGTCTTGTTCCTTGGTGCTTCGGGTAAATAGCTTCTAGTTTACGGCCTCAGGGTTTCGACATGTAGGCTTCAGAGGTTGTGGGTATTTGTGGGTCTCGTTTCAAGGTGAAAGGTTTTGGGGCCCACCATGTCCACAGGGTGGTGCCCGCTTGCACTAGCCGAGGTTCCTAGGCTGCACGGCACATTGCTGTTCTACGACACAGGTGCTGATCAGTACAAGTTTCGACTCCATTACGCTGGTGGGGGGACGCTTTTAGAGAACAGCAATCGTCAGAAGTTGGGCTGCAGCATCTGCTATCTGCTAGCAGATGGTGAATGGAGGTTGCTCATGGTCTCTACGTAGCTGTGGGAGCCACCGAACCTCCTCATCCAACACGGAGATCTGCGCCCCGGTCTTTTGCAGAACCTCCGCAGCACCCTCACCATCAAAGCCTCGGTCAGTGCGACACTCATCGATTCACTGTTAGACTGTCGTGCGCGGCAAGAGACATGGAGAAGAAATAAGGATAAGAAAGCCGTGGGCAGCACCAATCAACAGGTCGACAGCATGGCTCGGGGCTAAACACCTGTTCGAACGTTGCCCTGTTTCACAACGGCTGGCCTTCAAACTGTTCGGAGCTTTGGATCTGGACGTGAGGATTAAACGAGCCAGCGCCGCCTGCACGCTGTCGCTGCGCTCCTGCGGGTGCAGCGATGCATAGGGGGCCCGGCTATTGGCACAGGTCCAGCTACGAGATGTGAAAGGCGACCAGCTCGCAGTTTCTGTTTCCTCCGATGTGGAGAGTGAAGATTGGACCCAGCTGCAGGCTCTGGCGAAGAGATCTCCTGCATCAAGACCGGCTTTTGCACCCACAGTACTGTACCTGGAACCTCTGTGCATCAACGCCTGGCAGCTACTCGCCCGACACCAGTTCCTCCCCTCAAC